TAAAACTTGGATATGATTTGGACGTGGAATTAGATAAAAGTCCTCCTGTCTCCTCATTCAATATCTTACCTGTGCTGGTTTTACAAGTTGATTAACTGCAATTTTAAGTTCATCCACTAGAAAGGGATGTAATTTTGGAAACCTTGAAAAGAATTCGCGACTAGTTAATTGGTTAATAGAATGGTGTTCATCTTTTGTTTTCTTTGTACCAAGAGTCCTTTGCAAAAGCGTAGAAAATAGCATTACTGAGCAATTTCGAATGGCCCAACTTTTAAAGAAACAATAAATATTAAAATCAATTTTTTATGAATGACCAATCTAAGTATTAAATATTACAAAAATACCTATATGAACAAAACCCATTAATAGCCAACATAAATCCGTCAGAAACATAAGGTAAAACATCTGCTCCTAATTTAGCATCCATAAATATTGTTCTCAAAATATTAAAAGCATGAACTTGAGGTAAATCAACAATTTGTTGATCAATGTCTCCATCAGATGAAATATTTTGGGAACCAATGTCTAGTAAAGTTTTCATGGCCCATGGAAGTAGTATTTTTTGAGTACTTGGTTCACTACTAACTATTGCCAAGATGCAGAATGGAAGGCCAGCACTTCGACGAGTTATTGATATTGAATTTGTTGTTATTGCACAAATGTCCTCCTTATTATATCCAAGGGAGTTATATTAATGTATGTTAAACGATAAATAAGCAAATATAATAGTGGTTTATACCGACTTTAAGCCACGTTTTAGGCAATTCAATAAACTCTATTTGCGGTGAATCTAGCAATCGAGAACAGATTGATACATATCCTGGATATACTGCTGAAAATGCACCCCTATGGCGTATAGATGTCAATAACGTTCGAAATAATGTACCTCCGTCTCGAACTTGTTCATAATTAAGTATTGCTTCCTATAAAATAACATTAAGAGTATAGTTATAAATGAATGAATGACAGATATTTAAAAATATGTGTAAATTACATTATCTATTAAAGTAGTAGCCATTGGCGCTCTCGACAATATTATGGACAAGAGAGCGCTGCATAATTAAATGATTAGAATAGGATTAAGTAATAACGATAGTTAACATTTTTAATTAAGTAATTGGCGGCCATTACCTTGCTTCTTTCACAGCTCTCCAGCAACAACTTAATATGACTTGATGTTTAGGTCCCTCATCACTTTCCACATCCACATCGTTGCTTGAATAAACAAATTCTTCAATAAACTCATCCATCTCTTGAAATGATGTAGGAACATTTCCTTCAGGTGACGGATCTGATAATATTTCAAGCACTATTTGACACACTTGATTAGTCAATGAGATAACTTTGTCATGAACAATGCGCCATTCCATTAAATTACACTTTATAATTGTGGAATTGTAGTCTAGTTTTTGAAATATATATTGGAGTGCGAGTAATGTTCCATGCATTGGATATTTTCGAGATGCAAGTAGTAGGTTCTGAGATGCAATTTTAATTTGCTTCTCTAAAAGTACCATTAATTTCCCAATGAATGCAGCTAAAGCATTGTCATTTTATAAAATATATTCAATAAGATATAATTCGTTTAAATAACACGAAAAAGTAAATTATTTACTTGATTTATCATTAAATTCCGAACCCAAAGAGGAGACAGGAGGACTTTTATCTAATTCCACGTCCAAATCATATCCAAGTTTTAACACATATTTTGAAAATATTAGGCTAAATATTGTAGCACCACTATCACTTTCACCAGCTCTCGTGCTAGTCATTAACTGAAACGCCCAAAGCAAAATTTCCTGCACATCATCGAATAATTCAATTCCTGGTAATGGCGAAGGAAACATTTCTAGTATTTCATATGATAACGTTCGGATTTCGTCAAACGAATTCATTAGACAATTTAATATTAATTGTGCATTCCTAGTTGTAACAAGCGGGAGCTGAAAAGGAAAACTTGACGACTCATTTTGTTTATCTACATATTCTTTCGTAAACGAAGATTCATTACGAAGGCCAAATGTTCTAATTAATATGATAAATATTTTAAGCGCGCAAGACACTCTCTGAAACGATGCACCAGGATATAACGAAGCAACCAATAATTCAATTAACCAGTTCAAAAAATTTTGCGAAATATCAATCTTATGTTTTAATTGCTCTGCCTCCAATAACGCTTGTGAAACTTCTATATTTTTAATGGTGGAGTTGTTATTTTCTACATATTTTACAAGAGATTTATAATCTCTCCATTGAGCATACAAATTTCCTTGAAGTCTAGAAAATAATTTATTCAAATGTCCATACATCTTCTGTCTAAATTCAGGAGAAGTTGAATTTAGATTCAATTCGAAAAATGATTTTAAAAGTGAAAGTTCAGTCGATGTCACTTCTGTTGTTGATTTTTGTGATTCGCTGATTAGGCCAAGGACATCAATTCGAAGGTTTGGATCTATATGATATATCGCATTACGAAGAGATTGTAGCTTGACCTTTTTATCATCACATGAATCTGATTCATCTAAAATAAATAAAATAACTTATTAATTGAATTTTAAAACCATTTATTAAAACCTTTATTAATATCTGTAATTAATACCATCGATCAGCATTCTACCATCAACTAAATCCAATGATCTGGCAATTTTAATGATTATTATTAAAGCATTTAATCGATAATGTTCATCTTTCACAAAATCATTGGATAATTTATTATATTTAATTATATCCAAAATTTTCCAGAACGATAGTGGATCAACTTTAAATAAAGGTTTTAAAATAAAACCACCGATATTCTTACGTAGAGTATCGTTAGGTGATGTAAGACATTGACATACAGGTGTTAACCATAAATCAATCCAATCATTAATTGCAGCCTATAAGTGTAGGAGTACAACGTTAAATGAAGTTCATGATCAAGAATATATATGATTATAATTCAAACCTCTTTCTGCATTTCAAAAGTTTTTTTCGTTTCATTATTAGGTTCAATTTGTTTAGTAGATGTCTCTAGTAACTCTTTTAAAGACTGTTCAAAGAAAGACGCGAGCAATTGAGCAGATCGTGGTGCAATTGTCGTATTATGCAATACCTCTAAAGTCCGCTGCACAAAATCCACTTGAATCTTAAGAAAGGCATTTGTTCTGACTCTAGGTAATAGTAATAGTAGCAATACGTATTTCACTTTACGGTATGGATCCATCAATAATAATTGTTTTAACAAATTACTAAGGAATTGATTATAAAAATCATCTGTATTTTCATATTTTCTCTTGATACTTAAAATATCTAATAATTTTTCAAGGATAGT